TTTGTGTGGAATTGTTAGGATTTTCTAATTATAAGGTTTTATCATTTTACACCTAAAATTATAAGGTTTTATCATCAAGGATAATTTTATTACTTCCTTTCCAATTTGGATGCCTTTTATTTCTTTTCTTGCTTAACTGCATTGGCTAGGACATCCACTACTATGTTGAGTAGAAGTGGCGAAAGTGGGCACCCTTGCCTTGTTCCTTTACTGGAAAAGCTTTCAGTCTTTTACCAATAAACATGATGTTCACTATGGGTTTTTTATATGCGGCTTTTCTTATGTTAAAGTTGTTTCATTCTATTCCTAGTTTGTTAAGTGTTTTTGTCATGAAAGGGTCAAATAAAATTTTAAGAATTAAAGTTTATAATTATTCAAATAAAAACCCAAGGAATGACTTAAACAGTAAATTAGACATAGTTGAAAAAACTTAGTAAATTAGTGAGGAAAAGTGAATAAATCATTCAGGATTCAGCATGGGGAAATAGTATAAAATAGAGGCAAAGATTTATGGATGATTCAACATATTTTAAATAGGGGTTCTAGTTAGGAATAATGACAAAAAATGGTGGGGAGCCAATATTCCATGAGTTACTGGTTGAACATTTTTCAGAATTAGCATAAAACCTCAGATTAAAGAAGTGTACTATGTCCCAAATAGGAAAAATAAAGAAAGCGCACACACACACACACACACACACACACACACACACACGTAAAAGGGCAGAACCTAGAACAATGTGAATGTCTTAAAAAACATGAGAGATAAGACAGGTTTCTAACAAAATCATGAAAAGCAGCCTGACAGAAATTTTTATCAGTATATGAAAGCCAGAAGACTATGGAAAAATGTCTAATAATTGTCAATCTGTAATTCTATACACAGCTAATCTGTCATTTCAAACTAAAGGTGAAATTAAGACAATTTTATATATACAAAGTGACTTACTTTCATAAGGCTGCCATAACAAAGTACTACAAACAGGGTAGCTTAGAACAACAGAAATTTATTTTCACACAGTTTTAGAGGCTAGAAGACCAAAATCAAGATGTTGACATTGTCATTGTCCCTCTAAAAGCTATAGAGGGTTTCTTGCCTTTTTCAGTTTCTGATCGCCAGAAGTATAACTGCAATCTTCACATGGCATTCTTCTGTTTCTTCACATAGTCCTCTTTCTGTGAATGTCTATCTCTAAGTCTAAATTTCCCCTTTTTATAAGGACACCTGTCATATTGTGCTATGTTATGTTGGTGCACCCCCAAAATTCGTATGTTGAAATCCCAAACATGATGGCATTAGCAAGTGGGGCCTTTGGGAAGTGCTTAAGTCTTGAGAATGGAACCCTTACAAATGGGAGTCATATTCTTATAAAAGAGACCCCACAGAGATCTTTCACTCTTTCTTGTGAGAACACAGCAAGAGGTCAGAAGTCTGCAACCCAGAATAAGGCCCTCATTCAACCATGCTAGCGCCCTGATCTTGAACTTCCAGTCTCCAGAACTATGAGAAATAAACGTTTGCTGTTTATAAGCCATCCAGTCTGTGGTATTTTGTTATAGCAGCCTGAAGGACTAAGACATACTGGATTAGGGCAACCCCAACAACCTTATTTTAACTTGATTACCATTGTAAAGACTTGATTTCCAAATAGATGACATTTGGATGTACTTCACCTCATCTTCTTTGGGGGGGACACAATCAAATCCATCATACAAGGCTGAGAGTTTACTCTCCAAGACTCTTCCTGAAAGAACCTACTAAAGGACTTACTTCATCAAGAAGGAAATTAAACTCAGGAGGAAGGAGTGGTATGCAAAAAGGAACAATGGCCAGAAAAATTGAGAGAAGATCCTTTCTTAAGGTCCCACTGCTTTTAACAGGCAGTATTTGAACCCAGGTTGTCTGACACCTTAGCCTATGCTTCTAACTTTGACATTACATATGACTCTATGAGGAGTGTTTTTAAAATCTCACGAGGTAATATACAGATAAGTGTCTGAGACTTTCTTTGAATTTTAATTTTTAGTCATTATTTATTAACTATCTATAACGAAGTTCTAAGAAGGTCCTGGAATAGAATTAGGCCTTTCTTTTCTTTACCAAATTAGAGAAAAATGGCTAGTTTTCTTCTGAAGAATTTATTCTTACTGAGTGTTTATTTTGTATTTCTTCTCTGTGAGGCACTGTGATCAGTGTTTTGGGTATAAATGGGAGAATCATTATTCCATAGTTCTTGATTTCAAGGAGCTTAGAGTTTAATAAGAATTTTTTTTTGGTAGGGGACCCCTGGGTGGCTCAGTTGGTTAAGCCTCTGCCTCTGGCTCAGGTCTTGATCCCAGGGTTCTGGGACAGAGTCCCACATCGGGCTCCTTCCTCAGCAAGTAGCCTGCTTCTTCCTCTGCCTGCCAATCCCCCTGCCTGTGCTCTCTCTCTCTGACAAATAAATAAATAAAATCTTTTTTTAAAAAAAGTTTTGTTTTGTTTTGTTTTTGTTTTTAAGGTAGGAAGTATCATGTACCTCAGAAAGGAACAGATGTAGTCTTGAAGAGAGTTCAGAGGAAAGATTATTTTTGGTCTGTGTGATGAATGATACAAAAAAGCAAAAAAGATAATGGGAGAGGTGGCCTGCTTCCTAGACCTTGAAAGACAAACATAATAATGCTAACTACATCAACTTAACTATAACTCTTGAGTACCTACTGTGAGCATGGTGCTATGCTTGGAGCTTTTCCCAGTCTTATTACCTAAAATAACCATGTGAGGTCAATATTGTTACTCTCAAATTAAATAAGGGCGCAAACTCTACTGTTACACAGCTACTGAAGTGGAACCAGACAGGCCTAGGCAAGAGCAAACATTGAATCCAGAGCTAGCTGGATCCAAATTCCCTGCCTTTCCCGCCCCCCCAAGTTTTTAGAGTCGGTAAAACATCCATTTCTTCCGTTTCTAAAAGTCTAATTACTATTCATCTTCTGGTTGAAATGCCAGGTCTTTTATTAGCAGATTCTGAAAATGTAGTCTGCAGGTGGACTTGCATCAGGTCATAAAGGGAGTTTGGGAAAACACAAACTTCCAGGCCCCAATTTCAGATATTTTTAAGTAATTAAGTCTGGGATGAGGACCAGAGACTCCATATTATTATTTTTTAAAATATTTATTAGAGAGAGAAAGCATGAGCACAGGGGGAGGGGCAGAGGGAGAACCCAAAGCAGACGCCCTACTGAGCGTGGAGCCCAAGGCAGAGCTCAATCTCAAGACCCCAGAGATCACCACCCAAGCAGAAATCAAGAGTCAGGACCTTCAAGCGACTGCACCACCCACGCACCCCAGAGAATCTGTATTCTTTCAGCAAATTTATTTTGCCTCTCTTGAGAACCACTGTGTCTAGAAGGTCTTCCAGAAGACTTCAGTAGAAATAAATTCTTTGGAAGAGCACTTCTACTAAAACTGCTGGACTTCTCCGTACTGGCATGCCTAAGGCTGAGGTTGATTCTTCTACTTCCCTGACAGCACAGGGATTAGCTGAAGTAATGAATGCCTGAAGAGGTTTTGGCCTGATCTACTTACAACTCTAGTCACCAAGCACTAGCTAAGGTATTTGTGAAAGCGCTTAAAACCAGAGAATCTGCGTGCCAAGCCTGATAGATCGCGTGGGGGAAAATGTAATCTGTACTCGTGACATTTCTAGAAGCCGGGCTAGTCCGACTCGTGCGCAGGCGCAGAAGGAAAGGGACAGTCGACCCGCCAAAGCTTGCCCCTCCTCCATCCTCTTTCTGGCTTTATCGTACTGCGCAGGCGCTCTGAGTGAACCAAGATGGCGGCTCCCGTGGATCTGGAGTTGAAGAAGGTAAAAGAGGGTCCTGACCTGCTACAGGCTTCTCTTTGGGAAGCTAAGGGGATATATCGCATGAGGCTCGAGTCCTGAGGAAGGCAAGAGGCCCCAGGGAACTGGGGAGTGATTTCCCAGAGTCCTGAGGCGGGACCAGTTCTCCTTATGTTGGCGTGGGGGGCGAGCAGCTCTTTCTGGGTAAGAGCCGGTTGGGCTGGTCTGGTTAAGTCTGGCGGGCCGATAGCTGGCATGTTCTCTCGTTCCGAGCTCCAGAGCCGTTTCGTTGTGTGGAGGCTTCAGTTCCCTAGTAAGGCCTGAAGTAAGCGTTTCAAATTGGAGACCCTTCGGACCGCTTGCCTGAGCTGAGGCATCTGTAATTCTAAATCCTCATTTGCTTTAAAAATTCCCAAGTCCACTCTGTTTTTAGGCCACTTACTTGATCCTGTACCGTGAAAGGTCGCAGTATCTACATACAGGTCAGAGTTAGATAGTCTCATAACAATGTTAGTATCAGGGCTTTAACTCCCAGCCGTACTCCCTTTCCCCTTTTCTTGAAGGACTTGTCAAAAAAACAGGTCCGTAAAATTTTCCAAATATAATCTGTATGAGAAGGAACTGGGCTCCTCTCTTCAAACAGTTGCTTATAAATGTGTTCAGTTAAAAAGGTTTTCGCCATCTAAGGGTTGTCAGGGAAAGGATCCTGGACTTATCTACGTTAAACCTGTACTTTTTTTAGAAAAGGAAACTGAGTTCCAGAAAAGATTTAGTTAAAAGTTGGGACTAGAATCCACTATTCCCTACTTTACTCCACACCTTTTGATTATGAATTTAGGTTCTTCAGAAAAGCAAATTTTGCGTCTTAATACTTCTGGTCAACCTTTGCATATGAAATAGGAAGCTGGGCTAGTTGTTGCTCCTAATAAATGAAGCTGTTTGTTATTACCCAGAGGATTTATGTATATGTAACTTGCTTTTTGTCTTTCTTCTTTTGAAACTTGTAAATTTAGTCTTTAACGTGGTGTTCTCTAATGCTGTAATATCTCAGCTTAACAGTTACCAGCTTCCTTAGCAAAGTGTGCACAGGTCAGGTAATTTTACATGCAAAACCAAATTCATTTTAAGAATTCTTAACGAATTCTAAAAATTTACCTTTTTTTTTTTTCCTGTTAAGAGTTCAAATGTAAGTCAGGGTTTAGTGAAAGAGTAAACAGTTGAGTACAGCTGTGAATGGTCTTAGCTCCCAGTATTTGAATTCGTTGTTAAGAAACCCCTGGGCAATGAATGGAAACTAAGAAAATGATTGGAGACTGAAATTGGGTAGTTTTGACGGCTAATTAAATTAACTAAAAAATAAACTTGTTTAAAGGTTTTATCTTCTAATATCTTTATGAGATCTTTGTTGTTGTTGTTGAAGACTAATAGGAAATTTCAGGCACCTCCCTTTCTAAATCAGTCTTTGGAAACCTACTAGTAGGGGAGAGCAAAGTCAGAAAAAAGTTTAGTAGCCTTTGCCTTGTATTGTTGCAGTCACAGATGTTATTATTAAGGCATAAATTTGACAGCATCTGAAAGTCATTCTAGGCACTTAAGAGTATCCAAGAACTGTGTTTATCTTTAAGTGTACATGAGGGTCAAATTTGGCTTGGTATGTGGATATGAATATCATGATGCAGTTCTTCTACCAATGCTTTGATTTTTTTGTTAGTTTTTTATCTTTATCTCAAAAATATTTGTATTCTGAATATTACTGTAGACAGAATAGAAACATTCCTGAACTAGGGGTCGGAAGAAAGGGATTTAAGTACCTGCCTTTCCACCTAATAGTTGTTCAACCCTGTGGAAGCCACTTTTATCTTTTTAACAAATTTAGTTACTTTAACTTGTAAAGAGTGATGATGAAACTGCCATCCCTAACTCATAGGATTATTGAGAAGAGTAAATGAGATAAATTCTTCAATGTTCTCATATTAATATTCCCTTGTTAGTATTTCAAACAAATGTGAGAAAGTGTTTTGAAACCTAGTCATGTAACACAAATGAAGTGAGTCGTATTTGTGGTTCTGTTTTGAATCTCTGGGTGTCATCCTCTGACTCTTGCATTTATTGTTTTTATTACTCCTTGGATACCTGCTTTTTCATAAGGTTATTTAATGTACATTTGTTCTTCAAATAGACTGCATCTTCTGAGGACAGGATAAGTTCATTATTTAGTATGGTGGCTTGATTGTTTACAATTATATTGACTTTTACTGATGTTTGTGTCAGTAAATTTAACAGCTTTGTCTCTGGTTAACATGCTTTATTTTGATGTGTTTGGATTTGACTTGTGTTTCCTGTAAAATGTTTCACCCACTAAATCAAGGACTTTTTTTTATTAGGCCTTCACAGAGCTTCAAGCCAAAGTTATTGACACTCAACAGAAGGTGAAGCTTGCAGACATACAGATTGAACAGCTAAACAGAACGAAAAAGCATGCACATCTTACAGATACAGAGATCATGACTTTGGTAGATGAGACTCACATGTATGAAGGTGTAGGAAGAATGTAAGTAAAATATATCCTTAAGGGGGTTATTGCGGGAGAGTTTTTGTCTAGAATTCGTTCATTTTAAAACTCGGGTTAAAGTATCATAGTAGTTTTGGGGATCATCGAGTCAAATACCTCTTTTTAAAAAATGCTAACTGAACCCCAGATAGATGTGTTTAATATTAGACTTTGAAGTACATTTCTTAAGTATTTTCCTGTTCTTCTCTCTATGATCAGGTAGGTACTTAAGTGTATAACTTCAATGACAAAAATATGATTTGTCATGAAAAGATGTTTATAGTAATTTTGTGTGTGAAGATTTATTTAAGTAGTTGTAGTTTTAACTTCCCCTATCCTACCTGATTTATTAGGAATCATACAGATCCTAGATCTTTTAGATGTTTGTCCAGTGTTGTAAAATAAAAATAGATTGATTTATCATTTAAATAAACTCATCCTGTCATACATGAGAAATCAAGTAAACCAATTTGCCTTTTGTTTGTTCTAATTGTTATATTATTAACCACCCACACTGCACTTTTCTTCTTTTAAGAAATACATTACCCTTGTGAGGGAGAATAGATCTGCTTTGCCTTCTCTAAGCAGTAAATAAGGAATGGAAAAGCCCTTAACTACAGGTCACATTCCATTACAATGAGCTAAAAGGAGAAGACTGATTTTTTTTTTTTTAAGTGGGGGAGGTACAAGAGGAGGGTTTTTCTGGAATTTGGTCTTTGAATATTATTTAGTAAGTGGACCGTTACTTCAAGTTTGGAGATCTTTTAGTTGAGTGGAATTTGACCTCGGTCTTAGGATGACTTGTTTTGTGATTGATTTGAAGGAAGTGTAACATGTGTAACATTTAGTAATGGCTTTGGAATGACATCATGAGAAGTGGGCCCTGCTCATGACTAGCTACTCCATTTCTTTCTGGAAAAGAGATAGATTATGATAAACATGTGATTTGTTTTCTCAGAATAAACAATATATCACAAATAAATTTTATCTCTGTAGTTCATATTTTTCATTTTAGCTTAGTTTTAGAGGAAGAGAATCCCACTTTGAGGGTTTGCTTACTGGGGCATGAAAGAATTGGAATGATAACAAAATAGAACCCTTGAATATCTGTCTGTGTAGTATGAGGTGCATTGTTGGCATTCACTACAGGGTAATTTTATCCTTAATGTGAATATCCTTAGGTATTAAAACAGTAATGTTAGCTTTCCTAACATGTTTGTTAACGTGTTGCACCTGGATTTCATGTCACAGCATTAGCCTTTGCAACAGTTAAAGAATCTCTTTTTCCAAAAATAGAAAAACTCTTTTGACTGTCTTTGGCCTTTTGAGCTACAATGAAGTTTTTAGTTTTAATCAGAATAATTTAATTGATTAAGCATAGTGCATAAGTGGGGTAGTTGCTTTTTTTTGCATACTCCCCTAAGTGCTACAAATAGGTTGTATTCCATGTGAAGAAGTATAGAATTAAAAGGCTAGGATATGATTTAGTTAACATACAACAGTAGTAGTATTTCCTGAAGATTTATTTCATGTATAAGAAATACATAGTTTTAAATGTTTGGATAAAGTGAAACCTACGTAGTTTCAAACTGGTTTTCAATTTGACTTTTACGCTTTCTGCATCCCACTGAGTGCAAATTTGACCCTGCATTGTAGGGGCATGTAAGGTGAACAGCGTTTGTTGTTTGGCTAGAGTATTAGTGCCCTCAGGAAGAAAAGACTTGCTGAGTATTAGTCTGGTCATGAGGATGTTCTCCTTGATGCTAAACCTGAAATAACTATTTCTGAATTTATAGTCTTGAGTAATCTTGAGTATCATTGTGATTCACTTATTTAATTCAAGTCTTTACCTTAATTTGTCTTTTCCTTTTTGAGTATTATTTGGGATTTCTAATTAGAATACTAATTTTTCTCAAGCTATTGTTTTAAAACCATGAATTATAAAATCCAAAATACTCCATTTTTGTTTTAGGATCTGTAGTAGATTTTTGCCATTGCTGAAATTCAGGCTTCATTGTATCTTGCCTAGATTATTGCAATAGCATCTTAATTTTCTTTCTGCCTTTATTCTGTCTGTCCAAATGCAGTCTTCGTACTTCTGCCGGAATTGATCACGTCCATATTTTTCATAAAATTCTTTGATCTCTTGCCCACAGGATAAAATCTAAACTTATTAGCCTAGTATTCATTCATAATCTGTCCATTATTAATGTAACCCCCTAGCCTCAAGTCCTGCCACTTTCTATTCCCAGGCTCAGGATAGCACATAAGTTTCATGTCATGGACTTAACTTCTTGCATTGATTTTGGGTTTTCTGTTGAGAAGGAGTTTGAGTTTCATGTGGGCTTTAAACATGTTTTGATTGATTAGTAATGTCTGTCATGGGTGAAGGTAGAAGAGTAGTAAGTAGCATATGTTCCAGAAATGGTTATCCCTACTTTTGCCACAGGGTTTTGTCACACATGTTCTTGCTTTTGCTCGTTCTGTCCTTGGCCTGAAGTATCCTCTTGCCCTTGTGAAATTCTTATCCTTCAAGACATAGCTCATCTTTGAAGATTTTTCGGTTCTCCCTGGCAGACTTATTCCACACTTCCCTGGGTGATGCCAGAGCTTTTGTTCCTGTAGCTAGTACAGCAGAGAAAGAGAGATGATTGATTTCTAAATGGGTCATTTTCCTCAGCTAGATCGTCAGCTCTGTGAGACCATGTACATACATATTTGTCTTTGTTTCCTCAGTTCTCAACATAATGTCTGACACAAAATAGGTGTTAAATGTATCTTGATTTGGGGCGCCTGGGTGGCTCAGTTGTTAAGCGTCTGCCTTCGGCTCAGGTCATGGTCCCAGGGTCCTGGGATTGAGCCCCACATCGGGCTCTCTGCTCAGCGGGAAGCCTGCTTCTTCCTCTCCCACTCCCCCTGCTTGTGTTCCCTCTCTTGCTGTCTCTCTGTCAAATTAAAAAAAAAAAATCTTTAAATGTGTCTTGATTTGAAATGAGTATGATTCTTTCTCTTGCCTAAAATAACTGCATTTTCTTTTATTTCTTTAGAAAGAAAATATGTTTGGAAAGTTGCACAATTAAGAATTAGGCTTTTTTATTCTGTTTTAGAATATGATTCAACAAAGGTGAAATTGTAAAAGTAATGTATTTTGACTAAGGTCAGAGGAGTTTTTTTTTTTTTTTTTAACATTCTTAGTTTATTGATCCTCTCATGAAAAATCTGCACAGCCACCACAGATAAAGCCACTGCAGCATCTTTACTCCTTCTGTTGTCCAATCTCCAGCTCACTTTTTGCCAGCACCAGCGTTGGCTTTTGCAGTCCCCCTGACTTTCTTCATTCTGTTCTTGCGTTCCTTTTGCTGTTTTCTTGATGTCTTTTTCTTTTCATACAGGCCGTGTCTTGCAAGTCTGTGTTTGGGTTCATTTTTCTTTGCATAATCCAAGGAATCATAAATCATGCCAAAGCCGGTTGTCTTGCCACCACCAAAATGGGTTCTGAATCCAAACACAAATATGACATCTGGTGTGGTCTTGTACATTTTGGCTAGTTTTTCCTGAATTTCTCTCTTAGGTACCGTTGCCTTTCCAGGGTGAAGAACATCAATGACCATCTGTTTCCGCTGAAGTAGTCGGTTAGTCATGAACTTCCTGGTCCGGATAGTTACTCTGTCGTTCACGATGGCGGCGAGGGTTCAAGCAGCCGGGGAGGAAAAGAAGAGGAGTTGTTTCTGACCAAAATTATGTCCTTTGGTTGGACAGTATTAATTCTTTATTAAATCTACTGAGAAAGTTGACTAATTCTAAATGCCAACCAGTTGCAGAGATGTTCATTCAAAACTGACAGTATAGAAGAACCTAAGCCTTTGGAATTATGCTGAGAGCAGTATAGTCCTTAAAGAATAAAGGCTATTCTATGCGGAATAATATCAATATAACAGTATATCTTTTACCTTCCTCATTTTCATATAGGATGGAAATCAGATTTTCCTTTATAGGGTATGTATTTAATTTAACCAAATCTTGCCAGCCCAAATGTCTTTCAAGTCACAAGTATGGAGAAATTTGGTAGTATTAAATACCTCTTATATATGGCTAATTGTGGTTTTAAACAAGGAAAATCGGGCTATAGGGTAAGAGATGATGAATTGCTATATACTGTGAGCTCTGCGTATTCATTGCTCAAAGCCATATGCCATCCAGTCTCTTGGCGTGTTGCCAGCACATTTTAGTTCTCTTACTTCATATTCTTTGGAGAGGCTGTTATGTAGCCTGATACTACTACCACCAATTTCTGGTTTGGCTACTTAAGCTGTTTGTGAGCTGACCTCACCATACTGCTTTGAGAACTATGATGAAAGTTACAACTGTGGAATGATCTGTCTGAATAGTTTGCAAGTGTTTGTCTTTGCATCTTTCTAGCATGCAAGGAGGGAATAGACATAGTTCTCAAATACTGCATGAATGTTTCTTGTATCTTTTTTTTTTCCTGAATAAGAACCAGTTTATAATGGTTTATGGGGGTTTTCTTCCCTTTTACTTTGCACACTAGAAAATAAGAGTATTTTTAAAAATAAGAATTATATTTGAAAGTGTATGTAAAGGACATTTAACCATGCTGGTATTTGAAAGGACCATCATTAGAATAAATGTCAGACTTACTTTTATGAACCCTAGGTATGATCCTCACCCTGAGGTCAGGTTTATTATTCTATAATTTTAATATCCTTTTACTTGAGCATTACATAAACTTCTTTTTTCCAAAAGAGATAAATTAAGCTTTTAATTTTTTTAATATGGGAGGAACTTGAGTAGATTAGCCTTTGAGAAGAATGATTAGTGCCTTTTTAAAACTTGAACCTAACTAAAAATAACTTTGTACCATATTTAAACCAATTTAGAGGTATGCCACCATTCTGTGGGTATTTTTTACATTTAAGGAACTAAGAATGAACAATGGTATAAATCTACCAACTAGATAAGTGTCTAGCAATGCAGAAATT